GTGTTTATAGTAAGTGTTTACGTATTTTTAATTATTTTCTTTGTGCTGCTCATTCAGGCCTGCTGTCTATGGACGCCCTCTACTTTTTATAAACACCTATAGGGGCGCCAATATTTAGCAACGGACGGTTTCCAAATCATTCGTGCCCCGATAGGGGTTTAATGTACTTGATTACCTGCGTGTGCATAATGTGACACTTACTGCAAACTACTACAGAGAATATTGTTATTATTGTATTATTACTTATGTAAGATAGTATGTCAATTTCTTGTGTTGCGATCACAATAACTGAGCGCGGATCGCGGTTCCTCACGAGATCAAAATTCGAAATTTAGATTGTCTCTAGCTCAACCCTATCGGGGCACGAATGATTTGGAAACCGTCCGTGGCTAAATCATAGATACTAACCCAAGGGGATTGCTAACTCCCCGCATACACGCGAAGTGACCGGTGGCGCGACCGAGGCTGATACGGCAGGTTAGTGAACTACAGTCGTAATGGCAGCATATAGGACATCGATGTTTCGAAAGTAACATTTGTTAAATATCACAAGATTTGCGACAGAAATAATAATATCAATTATTTCTGATATATATTAGCTTCTTTATTGGTGGCAAATTTTGATGAGAAAAATCGGTTAAAAATGCGGGAATCGGTTGTCTCACTCTTGTTTATTATCTACTCTTGATATAAGCAGTGAGTGCATGGATCCCGATTTTGCAGACAGGTTTATCAGCTGGTTTTGGTGTGCTAGTGTTCGAGATGATTGTGCAGAACGGGTTAATGGGTGGGTTTTACAGGGTGTCGCAGGCAGCTAGGAATTATCATCGTGGGTTGTGTTAATTGCTATAGTTCAATGAGGCTGCCATGCACACAGTCGGCAGAATCGTAGATTGAGCAGATCAGAAGATTGCACACAACACATGTTCATAGTTTGAGTTTGTTTACATCGTGGGAGTTCAGAAATTTTACTGCATCTACTAAATCTACAGCTATCAAACGAAGCTTTTTAGTTCATCTGACGTAGTCAGATGCAGCTTCTAGAATCGCATGATTGTCCGTCCGTCAACAGTTGGGCACAAATGTTAACCGATCGACGTACGGTCACGATATTCGGGACGTCGGAGGTGATCGTCAAAACGAGTTGGGATGTCGAAGCTGGGGATCAAAGGTCAAAGGTGTAAAAGAAGGGGGAACATTCCCTCTTTAACTTAAGGTATAGGGAGGAAATGCAGAATTGCGGCACAAATCTAAACGGCTCGTGATAGTCGGTGTATAGCATCATGGTAGGAAGTGCCATCACTGTGCCAAAATTGGAGGTCACAGGTCACTGCCATTTGTCATGTGATTATTGCTAAATTATACAATTTCTATGTCATTTTTTTGCCAATGGGCATCAGCGTTGTAGCTGCCTTCTCGCTATCATGCTGCCAACATCTTTCCTTATTTTTTCGAATGTAGGTTATTTTTAATTTGACTCATAAGTTAAATAATGGTGTTGTTTATTTGCTACTGTACTTTCTGTTTTATTATATTCATTTTAATGGCTATATGATTAACATATAGGTTGTGCAATCCAAAGATATGGATACCAGGCCTGGCCGTGTGTAAAATGAATGCGAGCGTTATGCTGGTCTCGGATAGACTCAGCCCACGAGCGATTAGGCACGGGAAGCGACGCTCCCACGACTATGGCCAGCACTGATAGATACCATAAATGAGCCATTTTATTTTATTTTTAATACGCTATTAAATGTATATCTTATTTAACTTTTTATTTATTTTTAGACAATATAAGCTTCCATTGTATTAACTGCTGCCAGTATAAAAGTGGCCCTAAAATTTTCACCTGGTTTTATTTTACCGTAGAATGTCGCTTGGATTTCGCCCCGTTTTCGCGGAGTTGCGTTTCAGAGCGATTCCGGTTGATCTGTCTAAGAGGACAATAAGGGGCGGCGCGCGTATCCGCTGTGGGGGCGCGGCTTCACCGCGCTGCGCGCAACAACCGGGGCCGCATGTCCGTCAAGGTATGTTGTGAAAGTGACAGTGTTTAGAAGGGTTTATTAATGTGATCCAGGTAAGTTTTAGAGGTGACAGTGATTAAGAATGGGGTTATTAAATGAATCCAGGTGTTTTGTTCTGTGTATGAATTCCGATAAAATGTCTGATAAAATGTCCTTGAATTTCTGATAAAATGTCTTTGAAAAGTCCTTGAAAAAAATTTCAGTCTTGTATGTACCATGGATAAACAATCTAAGGTCGTGCTGTCATGTTAAATGCATGCGATTCGTATGAAATGGAATGATGACTCCCAAGTTTTCGCTTTCCGTTAACAGGGATGAGACGTTTCTATCGATGCATGAAGACACAGACAAAGACACTAGCTCTTTTCTCCTGGACCGTCACGCTAAGGTGAGTTCATCGTCCGTTAATCATCGTTAATCAGCTCACTATCCTCACGTTAGTTAGTCGAGAGAGAGAGTCGGTTACTCGCTCTAGCAGTTTATATCTCACGTAACCTGCTGCTTACTTCACGCCTTGGGGATCTGGGAATTTTCCATGTTGCCATAATACCTGAGTATGAGCCTAAACCAGTCCAGCATGGAAATAAAAAAATTATTTCATATAAAATTATATAAAATTATTATTGTGATTATCATAATTATATGTATTGTGAATAATAATTAATGTGATATATTATAATTATATATTATAATAATAATAATTATTATTAAATTATATTGGTAGAAATTATAATAAAAATCTTAAAAACTAACCCTGCATGCTAATTTGCCCTGCTGCGCCGCGGGCAAATTAGGGGCTGCGAATGGATTGATGGGTTTGGTAATTCCGAGAATGGCATGGAGAGTAAACTAAGATTGAATTTGAAAACTGAAATTAGGTATTGATTCGGAGAGGGCAAAACGAGGGGTATTCCCACAACATAGATATTTGTTGTATGAATAACAATTCATACACGAGGTCTATATACATGGAGTTCAGCAACTATATTTAAAATACAGTGTTGTTATGTGATGGGTGGCAGGCCGTTACCTTCATGTTCATTGCAATTGTAAGAGCGGAATAGTAATATGAAATAGTATTTTCTATCCCGTAGAGCTTACAACGACTACCGTCAGTGATGTGTTGATCACTTTCTGTAAAGACTTCTCCAAGCACTCATTCACACCCCGATCCCTGCAGTGTACCAGCAAAGATACTGCAGCATTAAGCAGCTAGGTGCTATATCACCAGGTATGTTCTTGGTATATCACCAGGTATGTACTTGGTATATCACCAGGTATGTACTTGGTATATCACCAGGTATGTACTTGGTATATCACCAGATATGTATACTTGGTATATTCCAGTATTACCAGGTAGGGCCTATATGTACTTGGTATATCACCAGGTATTTACTTGTGATTTATATGATGTCACCTATAGTGTGAAGAAACGACAAAAGCATTAGTATGGTGTTGTAGTTTTGTAATGTGCTTTTAACAATTTCAATTATGCGATTTTTTTTGCAGCAAAGGATATTCGAGATGTACAACGGCAAGATCCACAAGTTCTTCTCCCGTGGTGCAACATTGGGCAGCCAGCCCCGCACCAACCGACATCTTGTTCGTGTGAGTGCGTGCGAGATCTGTTGCATCGTCGCGAAACGCGAAACGAACGTTTTCGATGATGTGTCGTTGAGCGGGCAGAAATGTAGGCTGTGTGACGATAGCTCGAGTTGAGGACCTGTTCTCTTACCGTGTCTGACATGTTTCGTAGCTGTTGTCACGGGTTTTAGCTTGCGTCTCGTATGTAGCACAAGTTTGAGCATCTCTCTGCTGTGTGCGACCAGGTTTGCACTTGTTTCTTGTACATTAAAGACATGGGTTTATGTTATCAGATGAGATATACCATATGTATAAGTTAGAAACTGGTATATGACATGGGTTAGGTGAGATGTAAGCAAATGAGATATAACCCAGGATTATGCCAGCAGATGAAATATCACATGGGTTTATAATAACATCTGGCGTCTGTCGCAGGTTTGAGGTTCTATTGGAGGCGCTGGCATATATGCAGATTGCCGACTCGTGCGGCTGTGACATGCATACATACTACCTCCGGCGTGACGAGGAGGAGGAAGAGGACTCTTCTGCCGTGAAGAAGACAACACGACTCATGGTTGCGAGAATTCAAATGGCGTGGCTGTTGTTGTTTCGGTGAATTTGAAACATAAAATCAAAGAATTAAACCAATTTTCACCTGGTTTTATTAGCTCACCTTGACATCGTCAAGCTGAGCTATTGCCATGGATCGTCGTACGTCCGTCCGTCCGTCAACATTTGGCTTCGGTCAACGATAACTCGATCAGGAACCGTTTGACCCACATGTTTGAAATTGGGTATAGTTGTTACTGCTATGCTCCCATATGGAACGTCCTATTTTGGAGCACGCCAGTCGACGTACTTTCGAGCCACGGCAATTTTTTGGCAAAAATGGGAATTGTCATTATAGTCAGTTCAGGTTCAACGGATTTTGCTCATTTTTGGTATGTGAATGAATAAGGGCTAGGGCTTTCGATATTTAAAAAAAATTATGCAAATTAGGTAGGGTTTAACAATTATATAGCATATTATATAAACATGCAGATAACAAACAGTCTGTGGTGTCACACTCGTCTGTTTCGTTTTACAAGATTTCATTGACAATATCTAGTTAATAGAAAATTCCTGCTATGAACATATCATGATTTATACTATTATTATTATATTATTATTATTATGATATAAGGATTTATGCTAAGAAACATCAAAGTGGGTATAGATCTACCGTCACAATTTGTGATTCATTTCGGTTTATAAATTATTTATAATTTATATATAATATTATTTATTATTTTCACATAAAAAAGTACACATATAATTATCACAAGAGTATATAATGGGAGTTCTCCCATATATACTCTTCGTTTCTATAATGTACGTCGATGGTTGCTCAATTAAAACGGACTTCTTCTCACTCACTCATTTGTGTCCTTTTTTTGTGGTGAGCTACAGTGTCATTGACACTTTCATTATTGCTATGTTTGAGGTGGGCCTGTATATAATACACACAATCGATATATAATATACTATATAAATGTAACAGGAATGCTATGTAAATAAATTGTTCTTGTATTATTAAAACATGGTACTTGAGTTTCTTTTAACAGTGTATTTGTTGTTACCTCAAAGTGAAGAAGTTAATCGATCCAAGTGATTTATTAGGATATATATATATATATATATATTATAATTTTAATATATTTTAAATATTTTAATATTTTTTAATATTTTTTAATATTTAAAATATTTAAATTTAAATATTTAAATTTTTTAATATTTAAAATATTTAAATATATATAATATATTTATAATAATATATATTATAATATTATATATATATTATAATCATAGGAGAAGTATTTCCAAGTATGTACCCAAGTGCCCTATGTGTGAGGATACCCATTACCTCAACCAATGCAACCGATTTAGAGAGCTTGGTGTTAAGGACAGACACAGCTTTGTCCTGATGAAGAAGCTGTGTGTGAATTGTTTCCAAGCATTTCGGCAGAGACTGTCAGAAGAAGTGGACGTGTAATGTTCCTGGATGTGGTCAAAGACACAACAGATGGCTGCACCTGCCTAATGACCAGACAGCTACAGATACCCTTGCTGCTGAACCCGTGACTACAAGAGGTAGCACGTTCCCAGCTAACAACCAGCCCGTAGGACCAATCAAGTCCCGACCTAACATGGACGTCAGGTGTGCCTTCGCTGGTGCAGGACAGGGCACAATTGGCATGCCCATTATCCCTGTCACCATTCAGGACCCTGGACGCAGGGAACAGACAGAGACATATGCGCTCTTAGATAGGTGTTCCAATTCAACGGTGTGCACCGATAGATTGAGAACGAAGCTAAATGTTCTTGGCCGTCCTGGAATTATGGAGCTAACCACTCTCCATGGAGACCATGTCGAGGAAGAAGTGACGGTTGTAGATCTTGAAGTGGGAGCTTTAAACAGCGGCAACACGTTCCGACTGACCGACGTAATCTCCCGTGAGAAACTGAATGTGAGCTTAGACAACCGTGTGACTTCATCAGATATCAGACATATGCTACATCTACGAGACGTCACCCTGGTGAATGTGGACGTTTCCCAAGTGGATTTGATAATTGGCTCTGATCATGCACACCTTTTCGACGTAGAGACTCGTTCTGGTAAGGAAGGGGAGCCAATTGCAACAAGAACTCCACTAGGATGGGCTATGTTCGGCCCTACCAAGAAATTTAAACCCAAGAAAGCTAGCACTTACTTTGTCAACTCGACATTGCCCTGGAGAAACAGGTGGAGAGATTCTGGAAGTTAGATGACCCGTTGTACAAAGAAGAGACTCTGTCTGTGAGTGACAGGAAAGTTATTTCTGAGTGGGAAAGCTCAATCGGACGTGAGGGTCCACATTACTCACTGGGGATCCCATTTAAGCAAAGACCGCCTCAGATGCTAAACAACTACAGCATGCCTAAGCACGGGCTTGATTTGCTTGGAAAGAGACTGTCCAAGGACTCTCAACTGCGGGAAAAGTATGTTCAAGGCATCCAGGATTCTGTTGAGAAAGGCCATGCTGAAGAGGTGCCTCAGGAGCAGCTGGCCTTGGACCATCGTAAGAAAGCTATCTGTTACCTGCATCATCACCCTGTGATCTATCCACGGAAGCCAGGGAAAGTCAGAGTTGTGTACGACTGTTATGCCCCTTACCGGGGAGTTTCGCTCAACGATCTGATCCGTCAGGGACCTGATCTTATGAACAAGCTGATCGCCGTGATGCTCAGATTTAGACAGGAACCTATAGCATTTATGTCAGATATTGAGGGAATGTTTATGCAGATGAAGGTGCACCCCGAGGACCGGGACTGTCTACGTTTCCTTTGGTGGGAGGGCGGTGACATCACCAAACAACCCAAGACTTACAGAATGACTTCTCATCTGTTTGGAGGGCTATGGAGCCCTAGCTGCTCCAACTTTGCCCTTAAACGCACGGCAGAGGACAGCACGGATAACTTTGACGTAAAAACTGTGCAGACTGTGGACAAGAATTTCTACGTCGATGACTGCTTAAAGTCCGTTGTCTCGGAAGAAGAGGTAGTGAGACTGATAAAGCAGCTGCGTGAGCTTCTCTCACTCAAGTTTATCAGTAACTCACGCAGAGTTATGATGTCACGACCAGTGACGAAGTGGGCTAAGGCAGCAGCAAGTTTGGACTTAGAGGAAGAGTGTCTGCCTGCCGAAAGAGCCCTCGGTGTGCTGTGGAGAGTAGAGACCGACCAGTTCGGTTACGACGTATCCGTGAAAGATGTTCCTAGCACCAAGAGAGGAATGTTGAGCCCCGAGAACCGTGGAAAGCCGAGGTAAAGAGATATGGGTGCCTATTCACGTGCTTAGCCACTCGATCAGTGCACCTTGAGGTTGCTTGCAGAATTGACACCGATTCGTTCATCAACGCACTACAACGATTTATTGCACGACGAGGGAACCCAAAGACCATCAGATCCGATAATGGAACCAACTTCTTTGGGGCTAAGCGGGAGTTACATGAAGCTATAAAGGAGTGGAATCAGCAGAAGATAGCCGACTACCTACTACAACAAGACGTACAGTGGATATTCAACCCACCAGCAGCCTCCCATATGGGTGGAATATGGGAAAGGCAAATCAGAACCGTCCGAGCTGTCCTCTCAGGCATCGTCAGCCAGCAAACCATCGACGACGAGAGACTATCAACTTTATTCTGCATAGTTGAAGGTATTGTCAATGGTAGACCACTAACGAAGCTCTCAGACGACCCTAACGACCCAGCACATTTAACACCGAACCACCTGCTGCTGCTGAGATCGGGGCCAGACTTACCACCCGGAAAGTTTGTCCAGCAGGAAACTTATAGACAGAGATGGCGCCAAGTCCAGTACTTAGCGGACGTATTTTGGACCAGGTGGATTAAGGAGTATCTGCCCACCTTACAGGAGAGGCAGAAGTGGCTGAAGCGCGAGAGGAACTTCCAGAAGGGAGACTTGGTGCTTCTTGTGAATGAGACTACTCTACGTTACCAGTGGCCTCTGGGGCTGATCACCCAGACTTACCCATCCGGTGATGGATTGGTCCGGTCTGTGCAAGTCAAGCCACAGAATGTACTATACACGAGACCTGTGCACAAGCTGTGCCTACTTAAAGCGGAGCTAGTGTGATTTAAGCGACATAGACTAAGAGGATGACCTTAGCTGTGCCCATGGACTGTACAAACGAGTTGCTGTTGTCACCATTTAGTTAGGAAATAAGTGCTGTTAGCCTCATTGAGGCCGGGATGTTGGTGACAACTCCTGCCGCTACACGGTTACGCGGTGCACTACTTTAGCAGCGCAGCAGCGCATTGATACAGCCAAGTTGCTAAGGGAGGTGACGCGCGCTTTCTTTTTCGCCATTGTGGCTTACGGTGAAGACGCACAATTTAATGTGCTATTAAAACCCTGATAAACCCAGCGTGGTAAGGGATTTGAGTTTATAGATAATTATTAATGTATTTCTAAACAATAGTAGCAGCTTCTGCGGTGATTGCCGTATGTGTATTTGAATTGTATTACCAGAAAATTTGTTATTCATAGCGAGCTACACATACGACATAGCAGATACTGTAGTAGCGTAAAAGCAACATCTAAGTATGCCTATAACTATAGTCTATATCTGTGGCCATAGGGGTGTATCAGGAAAGCCCACCGGCGCTATGCCGTGGGAGTGATGCAATTACGAGCACGCGGGCTAGTACACGTTCATTGCTGGGTCGATGCTGGCACTTAAGTGCTAGCATCGACGTCCTAACAGTAATTGAGTAATTGAGTTGTAGCCGTTTGTGTCATTGAATTAGTTTAGGTCCGCGTCTCTCTCTAGAAGTCGAGAGTGCACGAGTCGAGGCGATTGAGCTAGCTAGTTGAATAGAGCCCTAAGTGAGGGCGTGTCTGTGTAAACAGTTTGGCCAGGAAGGCAGAAGCGCTCGGGCGATGAATCCGACAGACATCCGACGTCCTAACAGTAATTGAGTAATTGAGTTGTAGCCGTTTATGCCATTGAATTAGTCTAGGTCCGCGTCTCTCTCTAGAAGTCGAGAGTGCACGAGTCGAGGCGATTGAGCTAGCTAGTTGAATAGAGCCCTAAGTGAGGGGCGTGTCTGTGTAAACGGTTTGGCCGGGAAGGATGCGCTTCTCGCTCGGAAGTTGAATAGAGCCCTAGCGAGGGCCTGTGTCAACATGATGTCGGGGTAGTGTAGATGACGCACGCGTGACGCACGCGAGGCGCGGTCGTGGCTGCCTATATAAGATGAGAGCCGGGGAGAATCGGGGAATTCGGCTTCACACCTAGGCACCGGCAGGCACGACCGCGACCACGGCTGTATTTGCTCGCAAAATCAGTAGTAAACTTCTAAAACATGGTAACAACTGGCTTTCTCTTATTCTTGGCTTAGACTTAACGTTGTAACATAGTCATACTATTCGCAAGCTATCAAGGACGGCACTACATATTTTGGTACTGCGAGAGTCGTTCAAGTTCCTGGGTGCGGCCACTTCCAAGGTGCTGCCTATACGATCACTCTGCCGTCACTAACCTCTGCCTACCGCTTCAGGCTAACGATCCTATATCAGCGCCGTATAGTCGGCTAGGTAAGTAAAACTATTCTTTGCCAGTTTATATCTAAGTTCCAGTATAACTACGTTACTCGATTCCTGACTTGTGCACATCGTATGCGAGTGTTGCGTGCTACGTGCATTGGTTCATCGTACGTTTTGCCGATACCGACGCCGTTCAACCGTTTCATGATTGATGTCATCTTTGCTTGAATAATCTATCCCTACTCCTTAACCACGTTCCACGTGCACCCCACGTCATCATGGCGACGCCACAATTACCGCAGTATGACATTGCGGACATCGCGCATTTATTTAGCGAATCGTTGCGCCCCACCGTTGGCGCTGCCGCTGTTTCATTTCAACACGGGTTACGTGTCGCAGAAGCACGCACTTCCGTTCCGCGTTACACTGGCGATAACGCGCCATTATCAATAACT